CACAAAAGAGGAAAACACAATTTCATTACAATGAAGTACACTGGGGGGAAATATGATCAATAACTCATGGCAACATATATTTTTACATTAACTAGGCCTATATAGTTTCACAGTCACACATGTAGACTTTCACAAGTCAAAGCAATTCATTACTACTCAAGGTTTAACAGCTGATATGACTGGACAGCCATTTGGATTATAGGCTTACTTAATTTAATGCAGCAACAATTTATTTTACAGTGTGCTAGGATCATTTAAAATTCATTTACCAGCAGTGAAGGTGTTGCTGCTCCTGCCTCTGGCTGTTGGTCTGAGGAAGAGCTGAACCCAGGGATGCCCTCCACAAGGTTCACATTTAACCCAAGGGCCAGCTCTTCTGCCTGGGTATACTGTGGGGGTGCAGGACCACCACCTGTTTGTTTTTCTTTTCTTTATTTTTTCTCAGCCTTTTTCTTGGTTGCTTTTATAAACAGGCAAACATTTATTAACTGTGCCTTTTTTTAAAGAGATTAGTTAGTACAAATTACTATTATGTAGAATATTCTAGTACTTCACTTTTACTTGTTCCCATGTTCTAGTAGTGGGATGGTGACTCTGACATTACAATGAACAAAGTTATTAATTATTTAGAAACTATTAAAATATAAAATTATATACTGTAATAAGTGATAAAAACATCTAACTACAAACTTAATTTGTCTGTTACGTTTTGCCAGCCCTCTCTCCTGGCTTTTGCACACTTTAAGGTGTTCCCTGGCGGTTTAATTAAGTTTTCAAATTCTGCAAATCCTTCAAGCAATAACTCTTGCTCTTCTGTGGAGAAAAAAAAAACTGAGCGCTCTCTTTGGCCACGGTGAGCAGCCAATAGAAGCGTTGCTGATCAATGTTTCTACTATCGATACATATCCCCTTTTAACCCAGCGCATGAACGCGCAATTATCTCAGATAACCCAATCCAGCTATACTAACCATAACCGGCAGGAGTGTTCGAAGAACCTAATTAGCCGGATCGTGATGAGCACAATGATATTATCTTGGATGTCTCGTTTGATCTCGGATGTTTTAAGCAACGTACGAAGAACGGGCCCCAGGTCTGAGGTCGATCTATAAAAAAACAATAAAGAAACAAATAAGACAATATTTGAAACCGGCATTTATCAAAATTTGATAAAGCAGCATTTTGGTGGTTTATAATATAATTGCATTCCTAAAATGTCTACCTGAAAGTGAGATAATTGGGTATGTTTTTCAACCAGCGTGCGTCATAAACGATCTTTTGGAGTCTTTCGTGAGCCCTTTGGAATCCATTCTTTATTCCTGTCTTCCTCCAAAGGCCCATGTCGACAGGCCCCAAAGTACCACTCATGTATGGCAGTCACATGATGCAGAACTCCTGTCCACAGATCCTGTAATTAAAATTTTATGAATTGTAAATCATGTGTACTACAAAAAACATTTGACAAACATCCTTTACACATTAGTTTACTCTAATTGCTTAGTAATATATACAGTAAATAAAAACTTACGTTGAAAGCTTCAAACGTTTCTGCTTCCTTACAGCTGTACCAAAAGTGGTTGCAACTGTCTCTGTTCCAACTCAGAAGCAGGGAACAGTCCTTCTCATGTCTGGCCTAAAAAATTGTATAGGTATAAAATAATTGTTTTCTTACCAGAGGTCAAACACATATCAATAACAGTATACATACAGCCAGAATCTTTTTACTAAGGTTCTTTGCACCATGCCAGATGTCCAGGCTGTGTTTCACACTGCAGTCTTTGTATTGGCCACTGTCTGTAAAACATCAAAGTAGTATTATTATTCATTGAACGGCAAACTTGTTTTTATTGAACTAATATTGCAAAAAGTCACTTACTAAAAAGTGCTGATATTTGTATATTGGCATCAGTGCAAAATTCCGTCACATTCCCCAACTTTGGACGCAGCGTGTCCAAGGTCTCCATGAATGTCGCCTTCTCCATAGCCACAGAGTTCCCTCCGACCTGTCGTTTGTCCATGTTGACAATCGACAATTCTTTTTGTGTCATTCTCCATTGTAGTGTATGTGCAGAATTCAGCACAGAACCCAGGACTGTCCATCCTGGCATCACCTTATAAAGACAATATAAATGGATTAAATGTTTTGATAACAGAAGGATGACAGAAGGACCACAGATAATTATAATAATATTGTAAGTGGCAGTCATGTAATATACTAACCAAGGAGCACAACAGAGTCCTTTGAACTCAACTGGCTGATGACATTGCTACTCTCTCTCTTCCACAAATCTTCAATATGCGGCAGACAAAATTTTGTTTGAATTTTGTAGAATGTATTCCGGTCCATCATCCCCAAGTTCATAAACTTGAAGAGCAGAGCTATTTTACGAAAGTTGTTTCCAGACAGGAAGATGTTTACACACTACATAAAATCCCCAGCTAGCATTCCATGCTTGAAATATCGCTGTGAACTCCACTTCCAAACAGTGTGACCATTCGGACATATCTGTACGAGTGCAAGTGTTGAGAAACATTGAAGAAAATGCCACTATTTAACTGACTCTTTGTGAGCTGCAAATTTAATGTTCTACTCACCCATTCCGCAATGACAGCAGAGCACCTTGATTTTACAGAAACCTCAAATGGCTTAGCTGCAGGGTGACTTTGTGATGGAATCCTTCACTGTGCATTTTTCAATTGGAAGAATAAGGAAGTCCAGCGGAATCTTTATAATGTCATGATAGACTATGGATGCGGGCCGACCGATGACGTCTTCCTCTGTGAGGACCATAGGTGCGTCAGGTGGAGTAGCAAATTTATGTCTTTCATCTTCCTTATCTTCCGGATCATCGTGCACAGTCTCATCAAGGCCAATCACAGGATAATCCTCTAACGACATTCCATTTGGGAGAGCAACACCAGACCTGCAAATGTAAAGAAAAATATATTTCACACATCACCCGGTAAACAAAAGCTTCTGCCAGCCACTCTGGTCCGAATTAACATTAGTCTGGTAGCTTTCCACACCAACACCTACAATGGGTTTTTACATATAGGTGATAACACTAACAGTTCCGTGGTTTTTGCATCTGTATTGCTTTCGGAGACTGATTGCTGGAAGGAGGTCTTTTGGAAATGCAACAGTAAGGTTTACCCTCAATGAAAATCATACACCATATTGAACAAAATGTACAAGCATCACAATACTTTCCATTTACAAAATGATAAAATAATAATAATAATAATAATAATAATACACATACCTAATGCAAATTTGAGGATCCAGATTTTCTGCTTCATCCACGTCAGCGGATGAGGTTTCCCAGGTCTCGTGTTCTTCTGAGAGTTCAACTTCCTCGGTCTCATCTTCTTCTGTGGATGACTGTGATTGTGTCTCTGTATCCGGAGTCCAAGTTTCATCCCATGTGTCATCATCCCAGTCAATCCTTTTGAATGAAGTTATTTTAGTGCCCCTTTCAGTACCATCCCAAATAAAGACCCTAAAACAGTAATACTTACATTGAATTTTGTAGATTGTTGAAGGCATCTTCATCAATCTCAACTGTATTCACCCGCTTCGAATGTTATCACTCGATTGAATGGGCGTTATCAGTGGTTATCAGCTCATATATATGGGCCAGTAGGGGCCTGCTGCGCCTACTGGTAGGCTCAGAAGGCTGTTATCATCCATCCACATGGTTAATCACCGACAAATACAAGAGAAGACTCCAGATCCAATCCCAGAGGAATCCAGCTCGCCGGTAATCGGAAGTCTACTGAATGACGCAGCAACGTTGCAATATTTCGCGCTTGATATTTTCAGGTAAGAAGATTTAAATGATAAAACCGAGCATTTAAACGGTAATTAATTGGTCAATAAGGGAAAACAATACATAAATGTGTTTTAATGTTGCGTGACATGAGTGTTGACATGAGATAACCGTATTGCGATATTTCGTGCTTGATATTTTCAGGTAAGAACATTTAAATGATAAAACCGATCATTTATACTGTAATTAATTAGTCAATAATGGAAAACAGTACATAAAATGTTTTTTAATGTTGCGTGACATGAGTGTTGACATGAGATAAGCGTATTGCGATTATTTTGTAAACGTTATATAGGCTAACGTTAGGCCCTATTACGGTACGTCATTAGCCCATCATTAAGTTAACTTACTTGCTTTATTTGAGCATTAACGTTGCCAATAAGCATGTTTTACGTATGAATCTAACGCGGAAATGTAGTTTCTAGTTAAACGCAAAGTTAGCCTGAAAAATTACTTTTTCCACACTGTAAGGCAGCCTATTGCATAATATTGTATGCACGTTTATGCTTCACTGAAGTCATCATAGGCCTAACTCTTATTGACATATCTATATATGGCACCAAATACATATCCCTTATCTGCATCCCATGCTGTGATAGGCCTACAGGTTGCACTTTGCTTTATGTAATAATTGCTAAATATTTTGATTTCAGATATGGGAAAAACAGTAAGACCACACGTTCCAGGAGCGTTAAGATTAAGGTGATGAGGAGGTGTATCGTTGGCCCTGCAAAGGTTTCTTACCTTAGTCAAGGTCTTCCCCAGCCCAACTCCAAGGCCATAGCACCCATGCTGTGTACACAAAGGACATGAAGGTCATTGTCAGCACAGGTTTGTCATTTTACATGATACAGAATCTTAATGTATATAATTTTCTTGACAGGTTAAGGAATTCGGTCCTATTTACATGTGTAGTAATGATTTCCTATAAGGAATTAATCAAATTTGTGATACAATTTTGTAAAAAAAGTTGTTTGCTGATTTATGGTGTTATAGGTGACACACTCAAGTGATTTAGTCTATGCTGATATGGTAGTCTCTATAGTAGTACTTGGTTATGTTTGTTTTTATATATATTTCCCTCTTTTTATTTGGCAGGACGGCTCTGCACCGTCACAGTCATGTGTGCATGTGAACCAGAAACCTGCACTCTGCTCAGGTATGGCCTCTGGCCGGCAACAGCCGACAAGCCCCAGACAGCCTTCTCCATACCTCTGCTAGAGCTTTTTGTTTGTCTGTCACTGGAGTGTCAGGTTTCTGTTGAGGGTTTTTGCAACACCCTGCGCTGGAAAAATAACCTCACACTTGCAGAGGTCAGTTTAAAGTCTTGCCTGTGAAGTGAAAATTTCAGTTACTGTACTTTCATGGAAGACTGATTTCATATGGTTGTGAAAATTACACATTCTTCCTTGATTGTACTGCATCATTAATTATCACAACTTAAAGTAAACTTTTATGGAACCATCTAGTATTGTACATTTGCATGCAAAAGTATTCTTAAAAGTTTTCTATCAAATAACAACTTCTGAGTGAACCACCATCACCAGATGTAAGTATACAAACCGGTAATGTTTTCACTGACTGCTGCTTATACCCTAGGTTAACACACTCTACAGAGCCCTGGTGGGAGAATCCATATCCCATTTTAGGCATCACCACTTCCGACAAAGAAGTTTGGTAGATATTTGCCCACAATTAGATGATGGGACCATATGCCCAGCATGCCCAAAGGTTGGTTCTAGTTCCAGCGTGGTTCTTGTTTGATTAACCTGATTGCATTTTCCATGACCTAATGGCATTGAATTGATATCTGAAAACTTATTTAATTTTTGTATAAAGTATAAAAATATTATAATAAAATAGTATTAGTATAAATGTATAAACCTGGTGCAGATACAAACCAGGATTACTGTAAGTGTTTATTTTCCAGGCGGATGGGGATATGATTGTGACATTGGTGTCATGATTCTGCCCTCTTGTCATTTCTTTTCTCTAGTCTTGAGGCAGGATCATGACAGACCCATGTTTTGTGTGCAAGCACATGGTCTTGTGTTTGGTGCCATGTGCTTGTGTTGTCTCGTTATGTTACCCCGCCCCCTTGTTATCCTCGTCTCGTCATTATTGTCTAGTCAGTTTCACCTGTCCTTGTCTTGTCAGCTTCACCTGTCCTCGTCATTAGTGTTCCCCTATTTAATCTCCTCATGTTTTCTGTCCTGGGTCGGTACATTGTGAAACGTTGTGATTCATGTCTGAGTGCTTGTCAAACATTGTCATCCTTGTGAGTATCCTGTCAAGTGTATTGTCTACAGAGAAGTTCTGAGTCTTCGTTTGCTGTTTTGTTTACCGTCAAGTCATTTTCTAGTTTTAGTCTATCCTGTTCCTGTCCTGTTTTGCCCCCTCGTGGGTTTTTGTTTTCTGTTTTGTCAATAAATTGTGTGTAGAGCAATCAGTCTGCTTTTGGGTTCGTCTATCCTGCAACCTCATGACAATTGGATGCCAACTTTGGCCTTGTGAGGAAGCAAAGCTCAGGTACAAGTGCGGTTGAGCCATTACACGGAACCCGCATGTTTGTTAATGAAAAGGATGTGAAGGAATACCTGCTATCACATCTTGACAGCTCAAACCCTCACGAGGTTAGTCTTAGTTGCAGAATTTCATGGACTGAGTCCATGAAATATTAATGAAATATTTAATTAATCATTATTCCTCCCATAAATCTATGTTTTCCTTAAATCTTTAGGACTGCCGTAACTTCAAGGCTGGCAACGTGCTGAGGTCACAAAAACAAGCAAAGAAACTTGATGTTACAGGAGTGTTTGGAGCCTCTTGTCGTCATGAAATGCCCCTAATGTTTGTCAACATGAGCCAAGGAGAACGGTAAGTATATGCCACAGTAGTGACATCTCTGACTATTGACCCAGTGTTCCAGAATGATAATTCCCCTGATTGATTCTACCTATTCATATAATAAGCCATATTTTAATTCAAATTTTCCCAGTCACCAAATATGAACCTTATGGAATGTATATTCCAAAACATTACACAATTTGAACTTTACCACCATTCTATACTTCACTATGCTGGAGATTGTATAATTAATTTTTACTTTTCCTCAGTATAAAGTGTCCTTATTCAAATTTGTGTTGAAATAGATTAGCCTATCCCCTGTATGTCATCGATGAGCTACTTTGAAGATGTGAGGACAAGAACATACACCTGCGAGTAGTCTATGACATTGTTGCCTCACATTTGCATGTAAGTACTTTTTTGTGTAAAACTGAATTGTTGTTTTGAGAAAAGACCTTGACACATTTACTTAAAATTATGCCATTCTGTGTTCAATCAGAAATCAGGGGAGGGCATACCACACAACATCTCCTTGGCCGTACCAGCATTTTACATTTATAGACACAAATTGCCCTGCCAGGTAATTAATTGACTTTATAGAGACATCGGGACCTGTGTCACACATCATTCACTCCCTGTTTGCCCTCCATTTTCCTGTCTATCAACTGCACAGCTGAAATTAAGTAGATGTGCCTAAAAGTAATCTTTACTCTGGCATTTTTCCCAACTGGTGTTTGTCTAAACTTGTTTCAGAGATGCACTGTTGGACAATACAGTGGAAACCACTTATCTCACATCTGTCTGGGCCAAATCACTATAAGCGGATGATTGTTATAACCAAATTTGTTTGCAGATTACTATCTAATTTGTATAATTATTACATGCATATAAAGTAATAACATGAACAGCTTCACTATTTTTTTCTGACTTAAAGGAACACTCCACCGTTTTTTCAAATTAAACTGTTATTCCCTTAACTAAGACGAGTTGATACATAGCTCTCTCGTCTCATTGCGTGCGCTCAATCGCTCTGGCACGGTGACACTTTGAGTCCAGTTCATTCATTAGGATCCAAACAGAGATGAAGTTAGAAGCGACCAAACACCACGTTTTATTTTGTGTCACCATACTTGGTTGTGTAACTACTCGTGTAACTGTATTTAAATAGGGAAAACGTGGAGGTGTTTGGTCGCTTCTAACCTCATCTCTGTTTGGATCCTAATGAATGAACTGGACTCAAAGTGTCGCCGCGCGCCAGAGCGATTGAGCGCACGCACTGAGACGAGAGAGCTATGTATCAACTCGTCTTAGTTAAGGAAATAACAGTTTAATATGTAAAAACGGTGGAGTGTTCCTTTTAAAGATAAAATAATCTAAGCTACACCTAGGCCCTCTCCTGCTCCAAACCCTGTCTGAATGGTCAAGGTGAAAGCATTACACTCCACTCACGTAACATGCAGTAGGCCTAGCTGCTGCTGTGAGAGAGCTGGGATGATAATTATGCACCATAAAAGTCCCCAAAAAGCCAGCAGAGCAGGAACAGGAGGGCAAAATAACTCCATAGACCACAGCAGTGTGAGTAGAGGAAAACATCACATGGCGCGCAACTGCGCACAGCAAGCGTATGTACACACACACAATATGAAGACGCTAAGCGGACTACTTGATTACTATAAACAAATTATTTACACAGCATTGCTACAGGAATGATTCTGTCCCAAGCTTTTGAATCCATATAAGTGGTTGATCACTGTAACCGTGATCACTATAAACAGTTTACACTGAAGTAGGATCATGCTCAGTGTCAGCGTCTGTGATATTCTACCACTTTGCATTAATCACAGATCAAGTACAGCACTAGGCGGCTCGATGGGTTTGGGCTCACAGACGGGGAAGGAAGGAATGGAAAGGCTGTGGTCTTTTCTCCGAAGATTTGCCAGAGTCACAAAGGAGATTACTCCATCTCACCGCCTTGACCTGTTGACTGATGCCCTTTTGCATTATGGACGGAGGAAATCAACTGACCTAGGTTTGTCCACTGCTGCATAACCTGTCAAATTTCTGTGCTGGTGGTTCACTGTTTATACATTTTGTATCTTCTGGAGTGAAGCTGATCACTCACAAATTGGTCAGCATAAGTAAATTAAACTGTCTTTGCAGAGATGCAGCTCGTGCAAAGACTAGACAGAGCAGAGAAAATATAAATTCTCGCTCAAGAAGACATCTCATCTGTCATCAGAGAGGCACCAGGTAAACAATGCACATAAGAAGCAGGTAACAGTAGTTGTAAACCGGAGAATTTTAGATTCTGTTTACAAGCGCATTTTGCATGGAGTATGTAGTATTGATGTTGTCTTGTTTTCTGTTATTTTTGTTGTCTAGTGTTGGTTTCTGAGGGAGACATGGTGAAATGGAAAAAAAGAGAGATGGAGCTAGCCCAGCAGAAACAGAAACCAATAAGTAAGCAACTGAAGTGAATGGGTGAATGTCTTGAATACGGTGAAGGTCATGCATATTATTAGCAAAGAATATTGCAAATATGTTATACTTACCTTTCCGTGTACGGTAATGAAATACAATCCTGTAAGCTATGTGAAGTTACATGAAATTAAACAATTAATTAAAGCAGTATAATGTCTTTATCTGTTCTTCAGACACTGTCTGTAGATGGAAAAGGGACTACATAATCAAGCTGATTCAGTTAAACACATTAAACTCTTACTTGAACTTGTATATGTAAGACTATATGGTAATTACAGCTGTCTTAATAAGTGCCCTGCTGATGTGCTTCAACATGGAAGCCTAGGTGTGATTACAGTAACAGCATAGTTTTGAAGGAAACCGTCACAATGGTTATAAATTAAGAGTTGCTATAATACTGCAGTAATTGAATATGGTGTGATTAGTAATCAATTATCACCAAGGCCTCCCTTATAACGTATACACTCTTTGGTCAGGGGTGTACCACAGTAATGCTTTCTGCTTGGTACCTAATTAATTTTTGTGCTGTGTTTTTTTTTTTTTATGTATAGATCTGGGACTCGTGAGTCATACATGGAGTGTGAAACAGAGTAAGCACACACTAATCTGTCACTGTTCTCTGAGCAAGTGTGTAAATAACAATTAATAAGATTTATTTTCTGACCGTTGTAGAATTGAGGACTCTCTGCTGAACATAGAGAAAAATCACCGGATTGGGAGAAGATGGCAAGAATCTGATTCAGACTTTCAGTCTACCCTTAAAGATGTTGACTGTGAGCTCAGAGGGCAACTAATCTTCAAAGCTAGAACTGAATTAAGGGAGAGAGCAGTCCTCCTCCATCTGAAAAGAAAATATCCAGGTAAAGTGCTGTGGATACGTAGATGCATTAAGATATTAAGTTCAACTTTGAAAAGGACCATAATACAAACTAATAAATGCATTTCTCTGCATGCGTGTTTCCTAACTTTGTTAAAGATGGGCAGGGCATTGCCATTAGACTTTCCAAGCAGATTGCCAGCTCCAACAAGAGACTGAGACAGGCAATAAAAGAATACAACCGCATTCAGTGGCCACCGCAGATGAGCATCTTCCCTACAATAATTGATTTTCAGGAAGCATGCGATCCCTCTTGCCAAGTCTACTTCTGCTTTGATGACACTGTAAGTATAATTACCTAACCCTAGTAACCACACAGCAGTCACTCAAGAAACAATCTGACAACCACTTACCAACCACAACTACCTGCCCATTTTGAAACCACCTGGTAACATGACATAGCTTTTTTTTAGGGCTGTCAAATGATTAATCGTGATTAATCACATCCAAAATAAAAGTTTTTTTTACATAATATATGTGGGTGCATTGTTTATAATTATTTTATATATATAAATACACACACATGCTTGTATATATTTAAGAAATATTTTCATGTATATACTGTATATAGATTTATATATAATTTATATTATATATAAATATAAATATTTTATATATAAATAATATTTTTTTCTTAAATATACATGTATGTGTGTGTATTTATATACAAAATAATTATACACAGTGCACCCACATATATTATGTAAAAAAAAAAAATATTTTGGATGTGATTAATCGTGATTAATCATTTGACAGCCCTACTATTTCTTTTATCTTTCAGATTGAAGAAGATAATGTTTCGAGGAGTCTGAATGGTCTGAATAGGGATTGATGCCTTACATATGAAGACTCGGGCAGCTGAGGAAAAGCGCATGCTTTACCAGGAAATGAGAACTGTAACTGAACACCTCCATCAGCAGCATGCCTTTCTGTGCTCTGCCATCAAAGACACAGATCAGCCTGGTGCAAAAGCTGCTCTCACCCAACGACTCCATCAGCTGGAACGAAAACGATATCAAGCCACTATGATGTTTCACCCACATGTACAAGACATTGTTCCTGTAGACAACCCCTACTTGTGTCAGGTCCTCCCCCATGTCAAGCATACAGACACTAGTATACAATGATGGTGATAATGATGATAATGAGGATGACACTGAGGATGACCATGATAACTAGGAATGTAAGCACTTGTATGACAGGACAGGGCCTGTATTTACAAAGCTCACAAAGACGTGTTTTACTAGGTCTGATCTATTTTAAAGCTTAGGTACTGTATTTGAGCACATAGGCCTATCGACACTAGTATGTGAGTATAAAATTGTGTGTTTACTACATTGTGATATTACTTATTCATTGTAATGTACAAATGTGGTCATGTGTGAGTTTGTTTTCTTTTTAGTGAGTTCACCAAACCAAATCCCCTTCGACTGAGTTGAAATGACAATAAAGTATTGAATCTTGAATCCTCTGAATCAACTATAAGTTTGTAAAACTAAATGGTAAATGGACTGCATTTATATAGCGGTTTCACAGACCCAATGGCCGCCAAAGCGCTTTACAATATTGCCTCACATTCACCCACTCACTCATTCATACACCGACGGCGGTGTCAGCCATGCAAGGCGCCATCCAGCTCGTCGGGAGCAGCTGGGGTTAGGTGTCTTGCTCATGGACACCTCAACACTTGGTAAAAAAAAGGGAACATACGTATTGACTCTACAATACACCTTTCCCATAATGAGTTAGCCATGTTTTCAACCATTGTCATAGCACTTATTCCAAGCACACATAAATTCAAGTAATTTACTTAATAAAATGACATCGAATGATTTTACAGTCATAATCCACCAGACAGTGTGCCACATACAATACAGTAGGTTCTTCTAACATAACAGTACATAGGTTCTTTTCTTCTTCCAATGGACTGCTTTAATTTTATTTTCACATTCTTCGTTCAGTGAATGTACATTACATTTAGTTTTATCTTGCATTTAGTTGCTATGGTGGTTGCTATTGACGCCGCTATAGCTGAAACCACGTGGCTTGCATGACGTACTTCCGCCCGAAATTATTTTATTCACAGACACTTTTTTTAAAATAATAAATTCAACATTTGTCCACAGAAAAAACACAACTTGATAACTCAACAATACGATATGTTCATGTTAAGGTTAACACTTTTAACAAATACTCCTTCGATTCTGATAAACACGGAAGTGCATTGTGTTGTGGGCGGGGTTTACGGCGTTACCATATCTTAAATAAACCAACATATTTACATTTTCTTAACGTAGATCATCTAGATACAGTGTAATTAATAGTTTGGCTGTACTATATATTTGATATATCCAGTAGATATATCTTTTTACAACCCTAATTTACAACCCTACTTTGCAAACCAGAAAAACTACAACTGCAGTGCTGATTTGTATCAAGCTGCATTGTGTAGCTATAGGGAATTGTAGTTTTTAAAATATTAGTGTTTCTCTTAGAATTGGAGGTTGTAAATAGTTAGTTGAGAGTACAGTGAGGAGTTTAGGGGGATTGTAAACACATCTATGTAATCAGATTTTAAATGAAAATATTTTTTACATTTTTAAATAAGTTAAAATTATTTTTAACCATACTTGACATTGTTCCAAATTGTTATCTATATTCACATGATAACTAAGGACAAGAGCTCTCTATAACATTTGGTCCCATGTCGATAGCCCCTTTCATTGCTTAATTATAAGCCTTCACACATGCACCAAGGTGATGTTTCAAAGTTCAGTATTTCAAAACAGGGGCCATGTAGAATCTTAATACTTACATATGTTACTCTCTAGGTCAAGACCTTTCTAACGATGTATTGGTTTAGCTCTACAACAAAGTTTTAATTTTCTCATTTCACGTAAGCCATCCCTGGTGTAGTTTTAGAGAGCACTTTGAAGGCTCAATAGGAGTAGCCTATATGAAGCTTTTTGTTTGTTTGTTTGTTTGTTTGTTTGTTTGTTTGTGAATCTGTAAACAGATTTACAACCCCACAACATGAGGAATATCTGGTATACACACGCACACTGCATTTATGTTTGGGTTTGGGACACACATGGCTTATATACATAAGCTGTCTATTTATGTTAATGCTGTTATGATGGTTAAATACCATTAATGAATAAGACCATCGTCTACATGATGGGTAGTCATCTCCTCTTAGGCTACTTGTAGACTATTATTAGGCCTATTGGTAGTCAAATACAAGAGTAGCCTACATTATACATTGGCCCTTCCACCCAATAGGTGACATTTGCTTGCTGTATCTCTTCAAAATTAAGCATATTTTTTCAACACAGAATCTAATACTACACATATTTAACTATTCGAAATGTGTATTGGTCACTCTCAGGCAACTTAAGTTATTACCAAGTTTCCAAGCAGACGATGGATGCATGTTTTCTCAGTCCATGTTACCAAAACCCATGTGCCATTTAAAAAGCATTTTTTTGTATTCAGCTCAAGAAAGTTTTTTTTTTTTTTAAAGAAATGGTTGGTTATGTGTTCAAATAATTGATATTTGTGACTAAAATATAATATCATAGTGACCGGCAGTACTTTGAATTGAAATGTAGTCTTTTCATGGCAGACAACTCTAAACAGAAGTGGAACTCCCTTGCATAAACTGACAATAAACTTTATTTCTCAGAATCCAAGGAAACAATTCATATTTATATTATTAGTTTGTAATATATTAACACAGATAAAATGATACCCTTCACATTTTATCTTAAATGTTAATCATTGAAAGAAAAGCATAACACGGTGAGTGTGAAAATACTTCCGAGGGGAACTACGTCTTGTGAACTAGGTGACTTCAGTGATACCAGCATACATAGCAACCATTATATTTAAATTTTAAAAATTAAATTGTATTATGGTGAGGTCCTTGCTAAAACCCGGCCCTACTGAACCAATGATGAAACAGATTTATATATAAAAAAACAGGTAGACTCAATTCAGTACAATAGAACTTTATTTGATCCCCACATGGCCCAGTTTAAAAGGAACCACATTGATGGTGCCAACAAATGACAACAATAAATAAAAATTGGGGTGAATGAAAACAACAAAAAGATCAGTTTTCTTCTTACAAGTGAAGTGTAACCATTACAATAAATTTGGAGCAAGGTTCATCAAGTATATTTTAATGAAAAAGGTGAAAGGCACTTAATACATTTTAAAATGCACATGTATGTATGTATGTATTATTTGAGTATGTGTGTATATTTGTAGGGATGGGTTGGGGGCCGTCAACACTGTAAAAACAACTCAAAGTAACAAGATACATTTTGGAATGCAGTAAACATTGTCTCCATCTACCAAAGGAAAAACACAGATATTTTGGAAGTCAAGCCAGTTAGTTGAAATACTCATCACCATATTCAAAGCAACATCTAAAAGGCAGCTTATTCATTTGTAACTGTTGCCAAATGCAAATGTGGGTATTGCACATCAATTAATCTCATAGCTGATGCTCAATCATTGGAATTTGGAAAAAAGTAGGTCAAGAAAGAAGAGTTCCTGGTTTACATTTCAGAAAGCGGCTATAGTATAACCCTGAAATAATCTCATCACCACTTTGTTCTTCAGCTGCTTCCAGAGCACAACTTCACATTGATGCAGGTTTGATTACTAATTGTAAGGCCATAACTCGTACAGTCGAAGGTCGGTCTGCTGTAGCCACCCGTAGGCTTGTACACGGGTACATTATCATTCGAAAAAAAAAGCAATTGCTGGTGTTCTTACCTCCTTTCTCTGTGTTTGTATTGTAAAGAAATGTACTGGACAACACCTTTGCACTCTCGAGATGTTTTTATACGTTACTGCACGTTCTGCCTGGAATCTGCCCATTGAAATACTTAAAAGTGAATCTAGTTAAATGCTGTTATATCCTAAATGAAAGGATTGGAGGCTAATTTGTCACAGTCTAATGTTTTTTACACCTTTTAAAATGTTTTAGTTTATGCTTCTGTTTCCATATCTGTTCTTATTGTAGTATTGTAATCTGTTGAAACTGCCTGTTTTTATCCAGGCTGCTTGGCCAGGTCTACTATGAGGAAGAGCTCATTTGTTATATTTTGTTATTTTGTAACTTGTTAAGGCAATATATATGGTATAACAGTCACTTCCAGTTATATAAAAATAACCACAATGTGGAAAGATACCTTTATCTGCAGTCATCACGATGGCTACAGTAGTGGCTGTTTCTGAGGACTCTTCCATCTGCTGTGCACCTAAAGTACATAAAACAAAATAATAACAATAATAACACAATAATAACTTTCTAAATACAAATTTTTAATCTTAATTACAAATTCATAATTCATATTGTCAGTATTTATACTGTCAATAGTTAATTAGTAAATCATTGATTAAAAAAAAATATTAAATTAAATTCCATTATTTGCATCTAAATCTCAACAGCTAATTCAAAATGTAAAATGATCAGAATACCAACCTTATATATGCCGTTTTATTGTCACCTGGATAAATATTGTATCCATAAATTGTAATTTTCAAACAAGTGAGCTTTTCTCTTTGTGTAAAATGTCAATGGAAGACTAAGACAGTAGTTTTAATTAAGCTTGAACTTAAGCAATACCAAAAACTGATTTGTAACATTTGTTAAAATGTATTACGATTACAAGAAATACCATTATCACACATGGCCTCTAAAATTTCCTCCACCGACTTCGTCTGGATGCCATTCGCTGTGTCTGTTGATTTGAAAAGATTAAACCATCACACAAAGGTGAAAATTTCATCTTTTGATTAATTGTATTATTTCAATAA